CATGACCACTATACTCTGCCTGGTAATCTAGCCGGGTCATGACACTATACTCTACATGGTGATCTAGCCAGGTCATGACACTATACTCTACCTGGTGATCTAGCCGGGTCATGACACAATACTCTACCTGGTGATCTAGCAGGGTTTTGACACTATACTCTACCTGGTGATCTAGCTGGTCATGACACTATACTCTACCTGGTGATCTAGCGGGTCATGGCACTATACTCTACCTTGTGATCTAGCCTGGTCATGACACTATACTCTGCCTGGTGATCTAGGCGGGCCATGACACTATACTCTACCTGCTGATCTAGCCAGGTCCTGCCACTATACTCTACCTGGTGATCTAGCCAGATCATGGCACTATTCACTACCTGGTGATCTAGGCAGGTCCTGACACTATACTCTACCTAGTGATCTAGCCAGGTCATGGCACTATACACTACCTGGTGATCTAGCCAGGTCCTGAAAGTATACACTACCTGGTGATCTAGCCAGGTCCTGACTCTATACACTACCTGGTGATCTAGCCAGGTCATGGCACTATACACTACCTGGTGATCTAGCCAGGTCCTGACACTATACACTACCTGGTGATCTAGCCAGGTCATGGCACTATATACTACCTGGTGATCTAGCCGGGTCATGACACTATACTCTACCTGGTGATCTAGCCGGGTCATGACACTATACTCTGGTGATCTAGCCGGGTCATGACACTATACTCTATCTGGTGATTAGGCAGGTCATGACACTATACTCTACTGGTGATCTAGCCAGGTCATGACACTATACCTACCTGGTGATCTAGCTGGGTCAATACTATATTCCTCCCATTGGTCATGTGTAGAATAAAGGGTGTCTGTGGTTTATGACTGATTAGGTTAGTGATACAGTCAAGTCACTTGTGGAATTCGGCCCCGTAAGCTGCCATCCCATTTCTGCTACATGAATTCTTACCTCTAGTTTACACGATCACTGTGTAATAGGCTGGGTGCAGGTATGTTGCATCTCTGGTGGGCTGTACGATCTGGTCAGACCCATCATGCTGTTCAGCTCCAATAGTACAAGAAATGCGCATTTAATGAAACAATGGGTAATTACTTGTAGTGTGGGAGTCTATGGCGTCTCAGCGAAGAATCCCAAGATACGTCATAATGTGTTATTGTATATTAGAGCACTTCACTGCACAAGTCCTGTCGTAGGATAAGTCGTCCTAATTAACTACGCTGTTAATAAATCAACAAACACGGTTCGACAGAGCTCCGTGCATTCGACCTCTTCACTCGCTATGGCTTTTTGAGTGTCTAAACCTGGCAGGCAGGAGTCGGTCGCTCTCCTAGGCAGTGGACACTCATGGTTAACTGGAACAAGTGCCACTGTTTACGTGGGTTGTGAGAGGTTGTGGGTCACTGTGGTTGTGAGAGGTTGTTGTAGATACTAGCTAGATTACTCTATGTCTAACTCTAACTTGGCTTAAAATACATATAAGTAGTTGTGTGTAATACATTAGCCTATGGAGGCTTCACATACACATTAATGTGTAGCTCTCAGAGAGCATATACCGATGAATCTTTTAATGTATATAAACAGCTTGGTGCATCTCTCGGTGCATGTGTAACTGTGTATGTGTACAGAGAGATGTGAGTCAGTATATATACACAGAGAGGTGTATCTCCCAGTGTATATACACAGAAAATCGTATCTTACAACGTAAACACTAGGAACTTTCTTTCATTCCTATTAAATGGATTAAGTAGGTTTGATATCCTCGAGAACATCAGCTGTTAAGAAGCACTTCATGGTGCGTAAATTACCTGACACTAACGTCAAAAATAAACCTTGAATGATGTATAAAATGGACTCTCTGGGGTTTATATTCTGCATGGGATATCAGGACAAATTTTAAGTTGCATACTTGCAATTTAGTGATCAGGTGATCTGCGGCATAGTCTATCTTTTAGTTAAATCATACAATACCTGATGATACCGCGATGGCCCTAAGATGCGACGGAAATACTTCAGAAAATCTATAAGACAAACGTTCCAAATTGGTCAAAGAAACTCATAATTAGTGTAGATTTATCTTACCTAGCATGAGTGTGACAGATGTATCTTTGCGAGGGGTATAGGGCCAGGGTTGTAAAAGAGACTGGTATAATAGGCTTTTGAACCCAGTGAGCGCTAAGTGGGAAAGGTATACTAGACTTGTAGCACCACAGGCTGTTGTGCGAGAAAAAAATATCTCAGACTTGTTGGTACTATGTAAGAAAGGTAAATCAGTCTTGTGGGTGCCTGTGAAGAAGGTAGAACAGAGGTAAGTAAGCAGTAAGTGGTGTACAGATACAGTGGTCTGGAGGAAGCAATGATCAGTGACAGTATCTAGGTCACTCATATATATATTTAAACATGCTCATCCTGGTGCTCCACTTAGCAATACACAAGGAAAGCTTTGTGTAAATTTAGACACATGTGCAATATCTGGATATCTTTATTGTAGACGTTTCGCCATCCAGTGGCTTTATCAATACAGATTCTAGGACATAATTAGAAGACAGTAGAACTATATACAAAAGATGAGGTAATCAGTCCCTCAGCCTTGGAGTTAGTGTTCACAGCATCGTGGTGGTGGAGAATCTGGAGCAAAGGCAAGAAGACTGGCGGTTATATAGGCGTCAGTGGAAGGGACGTGTAGCAGACGAGGGCATAGTCACTGGTAGGTGGGATTCCCCAGTGGAAGTAGGTCCTACCCAAAGGGATGGGTTAGTTGTAGCAGCCGTGAAGAAGGTCTTGTAGATGTCCTCTGAACCACTGGATGGCGAAACGTCTACATTAAAGATATCCAGATGTTGCACATGTGTCTAAACTTTCATATTGTCGGTATTTTATACCTTTCTTGCACAAAGCTTTGTGTAGCAGACACACCACCACCAGCAAGTTCTTCACCATTATCACACACACGTAAACGTGAGACACACCTAAGTAACAGAGAGGGTAAATGAATGAGTATGGAATTCCTAAATAATAGAAAACAGTCACGGAGAGGGAATAGTAACAGAAGGGCACAAGTAATCTCAGGGAACCCACAATGTTTTAGTCTGGGACCCAAAATGTTCCTGGTATATATAAACGACTTCTTCTGAGGCCAGAAATCGCACAAGTCAATGCTCGCAGGTGATGCATAACTAATGTGGAAAATGAAAACCGACAGGAAATGCCAAAAACTGCAGGAGGATCTTCACCGGCTTTAAGAATGGTGTGCAATAAATGGCTTTTGGAATTCATCCTCAACAAATAGAAAGTAAAGAGCTTTTAAAAACACCGAATAAAAAGAAAGCCTTCGAGGCAATTATAAATCTATCAGTCCCCTTCAAAGTGGTGGGACTGTAACTACGGTGCAAAAGAAACGCTACGAAGTCGGTCTTAGAGTCATCAGCACGAAGTGGGTCGTACTGGAAATATGAATTATTGTATCTGTGTGGGTGAGAGCTTTAATGAGGATTATAACCGGGTTTTTGGATCAATACGGCACATAATTTTAATTTGTAAAGCAGTTATTCTTCGTACCAGTAATCTACATCACAATTTTGACTGGGATTGTTCACGAGTAACGTTGTCTACTGTTTTTGTCTGATTCTCTTAATTTTCCTTCATATATCACATTTTCTGCACATGAGAACAATCTCGGTACTTCGAGTATTTCTCTCTCAGCTTTTGAGAAGCTTTGACTATTTTCTTCAATTAATCACTGTTTACTTTCCGTTTACTCACCTGTTTGCTCTCTATTTACTCACGTGTTTACGTCGGTGCTGCCAGTATGACTACTCATACAGGCTGCTCTGCTGATCGTATCATGTGAAAACAATTTCTGTATGTTACAACTCTACAGGAGAAATAAGATACAACGCTAAGAATAATGTTTATTTACAGTTCTTCTTGACACACACACACACACACACACACACACACACACACACACACACACACACACACACACACACACACATACTTTTAAATGAAGAAATAAATAAATAAATAGAAGGATAGGATATTTGGTATAATAAAGCAACTGTTGGATGATCTATTATACAATTGCTAACTAATTTATATACCTGCTGTCTGTTCTATTATATACCTGCTGGCTGTTCTATTATATACCTGCTGTCTGTTCTATTATATACCTGCTGGCTGATCTATTACATAATTGCTAAGTGATCTATCATATAGTTTCTGCCTGCTCTATTACAGAGTTGCTGACCTACTGGCTGATCTATTACATAGCTGCTGGTTGATCAGTTGAATAACAGATGACTGATCAAGTATATAAAAGTTGAACTGACATAATGTTTAGCAACTGTCTGCTATTATAGATAGAGAGAACATGTTCAAAGAGCCAAAAAAAATGTACCCATCTGACCTAACAAGAGGACAGCAGCTGGGGAACAATCCCGCTGAAGTGTAAAGCAACACTGATGACGGAGGGAATTCCTTACCAGTCATCATAAGCTGCTGAATCCCAAGACGATAATACATAACAGGCATTTCAACACCCTGAATTTAAATGTGCATAATGAGGAAGTAGATGGTATATACAATGATTACAAGGAGAGAAAGTGAGTGAGAGAGAGAGAGAGAGAGAGAGAGAGAGAGAGAGAGAGAGAGAGAGAGAGAGAGAGAGAGAGAGAGAGAGAGAGAGAGAGAGAGAGAGAGAAGAGAAAGAGAGAGAGAGGAGAGAGAGAGAGAGTGAGACAGACAGACAGACAGAGACAGAGAGAGCAGCGAGCGAGAGAGAGAGAGAGAGAGAGAGAGAGAGAGAGAGAGAGAGGAGAGAGAGAGAGAGAGAGAGAGAAGAGAGAGAGAGAGAGAGAGAGAGAGAGAGACGAGGAGAGGAGAGCAGAGACAGAGACAGACAGACAGACAGACAGAGACAGACAGACAGACAGATTTATCACTGCCGTCGACCACGTCTGTCCACCAGAGGACGTGGCCAGTACCTCAGTACTGGACGTGGCCCTGATGGAGCCACATCTAATACTGCCCTGTTGCCACTAGCTACGGGGAACAAGAGCCATCAAGACTTTCTACGCCTCCCTCACATTAGGCGCCACTGAGTTCATTATTTAATTAAGACTCAATTACAGGACACTATTTCTTAACGTGAAAAAACAGAGAGGGGAAATTACCGCAGGTCTATTGCATAATAAAGGAAAGTAAGCTGCCGCAACCCAACGTCTGCACTATAAGACTACTAAGTTCCTTCTCCAGCAGGAGACACCTGGGGAAAACTTTATCGCACCTGGCCGGGTCCTGAATCTGACGGGACTGTGTGGCCTCCAGGAGGGCGGTATTATAGAAGGACATCGTTTCAGGGCTGTTGGAAAAGAGTTGAAGGAGGACATTCTCCTCCAAAGAGCGAGTGCTTTGCTGTTTGTTTTCTAAGTAACACATGAACTTCAAGATGCAGCCGTCAGTGTCCAGGTGGGTGGCTGCAGACATCAGCAACTTTTGAGCCTCCTCCACCTCCTCCAACCCCGTTTGCACCTCCTCCACCTCATGGAGTCCTGTCTGTGCCTCCTGCAAACCCATTAAGAGGGCTCGATTGTGGCGCTTGTTGACAGAATTTCTGTTGTAGGTCTTTGTAGGGAATGGGTAGGAGGGCCCCTGAGGAACATACTGGGATTCGGAAGGGATATCCAAAGACTTTGAAAAGGCGTAAGATGATTCTTCAGGGTAGTAAGATGCCTGTGCAGGGATGTAAGATGACTCTTCAGGGTGGTAAGATGCCTGTGCAGGGACGTAAGATGATTCTTCAGGGTAGTAAGATGCCTGTGCAGGGATGTAAGACGACTCTTCAGGGTAGTAAGATGCCTGTGCAGGGACGTAAGATGACTCTTCAGGGTAGTAAGATACCTGTACAGGGACGTAAGATGACTCTTCAGGGTAATAAGATGACTCTGCAGGAACATAAGATTGTGCAGGCACGTGGGATGCCTGTGCTGGGACGTAAGATGGAACGTCGGAAGCCTCAGCAGGGATGTAAGAGGGGTCGGGAGGGACGTCAGAGGATTCTATGGACACATAAGAAGATTCGGCAGGTATAACAGACGATTCTTCAGTGCCATGAGAAGATTCAGCTGTTTCATGAGAGGACTCTACTGGTTCATGAAAGGACTCTGCTGGCTCATGGGACGCTGGAGATCCGTATTCATGTGATCCGCCGCCGAAGTCATGGAATTCCTCGTGAAGTATGTCTTCATCGTCGTAATAGATGGGGCTTTTGTCTTCTTTCAGAAAGGCAAGAATTACAGCAGCCTGCAAAAAACAAAAGCTGAATTACCTTTACTGCTTCCACTGTAAGTGCCAGTGCAAGACATCGAGCGATGTGACACTTAATAAAGTGTCCACACATTTCTCGGTATGTTGTGCTGTCTTGTACCACAAGAAAATAATGTTTAACGAAGTTTACTTTTTTTAGCATAAAGTCATAATATACACATTAGTAAAGACTGTGAGAAGATGAGACTCGGAGAGGGAGAGAGAGAGAAAGAGAGAGAGAGAGAGAGAGAGAGAGAGAGAGAGAGAGAGAGAGAGAGAGAGAGAGAGAGAGAGAGAGAGAGAGAGAGAGAGAGAGAGAGAGAGAGAGAGACCAGTCTCACTCCTTTCAATCACTGGCAAGATTCTTGAGACAATAATCTCACGGTAGAGGACAGAGTTTCTCGACTACTATTCACTTCTTTGTGACCGTCAATATGGCTTCAGAAAAGGTTACTCTGTTGTTCTCTTTCTAACCCTCTCCACTAAGTGGCACCAGTCACTGGATGAATCCAAAGTCAGCTGTGTAATAGCACTGAACATTGCTGGTGCTTTCGACCGAGTATGGCACCAAGCACTCTTGATAAAACTGCAAGCACTGGGAATTGCTGGCTCTACATTATGTGTCCTCAGTGATTACCCTCAAGGTAGATCTCTAAATGTAGTTCTCAATGGGACAGAGTCAGCAAGACATCCCAAGACACAGGAAAGTGTGCTTGGGCCATTGTTATGGAATGTCTACTTCAGTGACCTCCTTTATCTCAACACAGAATCCCATGCCGAGGCAGACGACTGTACTCTGACATTTACTGATCTTAGAGAGGAAATGGCAGCTGCTGTAAGTTACATCAATCAGCCTATATCTAAATCAGTCTGGGATAAACGGTGGCAGGTCACATTTGCTCCCAAGAAAACACAAATAATGATGGTTTCTAGGCATCATGATGGTAATGCTGAAGCAGTGATAAGAATGAATGGGAGGGTGTTGGTACACAAGGACGAAGTTGATATCCTTGAAGTGAAATTTGACTCCAAACTGATCATGATGAACCACATTGTAAATCTTGAAAACAAGGCGGCCAGGAAGCTTACAACACTTCGACGTATCTCGCAAGCCACATGTAAGCTCACACCTTGAATATGCTCCACTTTCTTGGATTGTCTATTATTTTAGCAGATCCTTCAACACTGGAGGGTTGTGGGTAGAGTTACTGTTATGTACATTACCACACTTGAAGTACCACACTTGGCTCCACTCCAAGGACAGCGAGAAGTGAGCTTCTATACAACAAGACGGGCAGCAACAGCAACTTCACTCTGACTGTACTCTTCTCCAGAGTATCACTACATCTGAGATTATTTTTTTTAGGATGACTCGAGTCTGGAACATGTTCGTACATGTTGATATAAATTAAATAAATTCAATTGAACAAATGAAATCGCTGGCTCACAGATGACTCAGACTTCATCCTTTCCCATATCTGTGTTTCATAACAATAAAAAGACTTTCCAATAAGCTGACGTAGGTAACAGCTCTTAGCTTGTAAATAGAGGTAGGAGCCTTGACCTAACATTGTAAAACGAGCGAGAGAGAGAGAGAGAGAGAGAGAGAGAGAGAGAGAGAGAGAGAGAGAGAGAGAGAGAGAGAGAGAGAGTTTTTCTTCACCTGGAGGCTAAGGAGAGCAGTAACGGGCAGTGTTCCCAGGGGAGAATTAGCCACCAGGGGAATGTTTGCTGTGGGTAACCAGGTGGCGTTGATGGCAGCCAGCGACACCAACACCGCGCTCACTATCAGTAATAAACGCATCTGTAATAAACATATTAATAATTTAAAAAAAAGTCCTAACATTCACTGTACTTGACGACCCTCACATCATTCTAGTAAATTAACTAGTCACTAATAACAGACAAGCAAACTATAAATTACAACTCCGAGGGACATTAACTAGTATCCTTAGGTTAGTTTAAGTCACGTTTGTCAAAAAACAGGACAATTGTTTCCTGACGTGGGTCTTAAATCATATGATGACCTGCAGCTGGAGTTGTTTGTCATCTGACTGAGGCCTTCCGCTGGCTTACCTGTCCATCCCTTCCAAAATTATGATTATGATTATAACTACTAGATCCTAGAGAAGTAATATCCTTGTAGATACTAGAGAAGTAATATTTTACTTCTAACATTTAGGGTGGTGCAGGTGTATACAGATCAGCCACAACTGACCCAGTACATGATCAGCCACAACTGACCCAGTACATGATCAGCCACAACTGACCCAGTACATTTTCAGTCACAACTGACCCAGTACATGATCAGCCACAACTGACCCATTACATTTTCAGTCACAACTGACACAGTACATGATCAGCCACAACTGACCCAGTACATGATCAGTCACAACTGACCCAGTAAATGATCATTCACAACTGACACAGTATATCATCAGTCACAACTGACCCAGTATATGATCAGTCACAACTGACCCAGTAAATGATCATTCACAACTGACACAGAATATCATCAGTCACAACTGACCCAGTATATGATCAGTCACAACTGACCCAGTAAATGATCATTCACAACTGACACAGTATATCATTAGTCACAACTGACCCAGTACATGATCAGTCACAACTGACCCAGTAAATGATCAGTCACAACTGACCCAGTACATGATCAGTCACAACTGACCCAGTAAATGATCAGTCACAACTGACCCAGTACATGATCAGTCACAACTGACCCAGTACATGATCAGTCACAACTGACCCAGTACATGATCAGTCATAACTGACCCAGTAAATGATCAGTCACAACTGACCCAGTAAATGATCAGTCACAACTGACCCAGTACATGATCGGTCACAACTGACCCAGTACATGATCAGTCACAACTAACCTAGCACATGATCACTCACAACTAACCTAGCACATGATCAGCCTCAACTAACCTAGCACATGATCAGCCACAACTAACCTAGCACATGATCAGTCACAACTAACCTAGCATATGATCAGTCACAACTAACCTAGCACATGATCAGTCACAACTAACCTAGCACATGATCAGCCACAACTAACCTAGCACATGATCAGTCACAACTAACCTAGCATATGATCAGTCACAACTAACCTAGCACATGATCAGTCACAACTAACCTAGTACATGATCAGCCGCAACTAACCTAGCACATGATCAGTCACAACTAACCTAGCACATGATCAGCCACAACTAACCTAGCACATGATCAGTCACAACTAACCTAGCACATGATCAGTCACAACTAACCTAGTACATGATCACTCACAATTAACCTAGCACATGATCAGTCACAACTAACCTAGCACATGATCAGTCACAACTAACCTAGCACATGATCAGTCACAACTAACCTAGCCCATGATCACTCACAATTAACCTAGCACATGATCAGTCACAACTAACCTAGCACATGATCAGTCACAACTAACTTAGCACATGATCAGTTACAGCTAACCTAGCACATGATCAGTCACAACTAAATTAGCACATGACCAGTCACAACTAACCTAGCACATGATCAGTCACAAATAACCTAGCACATGATCAGTCACAAATAACCTAGCACATGATCAGCCTCAACAAACCTAGCACATGATCAGTCACAACTAACCTAGCACATGATCAGGCACAACTAACCTAGCACATGATCAGTCACAACTAACCTAGCATATGATCAGTCACAACTAACCTAGCACATGATCAGTCACAACTAACCTAGCACATGATCAGTCACAACTAACTTAGCACATGAGCAGTCACAACTAACCTAGCACATGATCAGTCACAACTAACCTAGCACATGATCAGCCACAACTAACCTAGCACATGGTCAGTCACAATTAACCTAGCACATGATCAGCTTCAACTAACCTAGCACATGATCAGCCACAACTAACCTAGCACATGATCAGTCACAACTAACCTAGCACATGATCAGTCACAACTAACCTAGCACATCATCAGTCACAACTAACCTAGCACATGAGCAGTCACAACTAACCTAGCACATGATCAGCCACAACTAACCTAGCACATGATCAGTCACAACTAACCTAGCACATGATCACTCACAACTAACCTAGCACATGATCAGTCACAAGTAACCTACCACATGATCAGTCACAACTAACCTAGCACATGTTTAGTCACAACTAACTTAGCACATGATCAGCCACAACTAACCTAGCACATGATCAGTCACAACTAACCTAGCACCTGATCAGCCACAACTAACCTAGCACATGATCAGCCACAACTAACCTTGCACATGATCACTCACAACTAACCTAGCAAATGATCACTCACAACTAACCTAGCACATGATCAGTCACAACTAACCTAGCACATGATCACTCACAACTAACCTAGCACATGATCACTCACAACTAACCTAGCACATGATCAGCCACAACTAACCTAGCACATGATCACTCACAACTAACCTAGCACATGATCAGCCACAACTAACCTAGCACATGATCACTCACAACTAACCTAGCACATGATCAGCCACAACTAACCTAGCACATAATCAGCCACAACTAACCTAGCACATGATCAGCCACATCTAACCCAGCACATGATCAGCCACAACTAACCTAGCACATGATCAGTCACAACTAACCTAGCACATGATCAGTCACAACTAACCTAGCACATGATCAGTCACAACTAACCTAGCACATGATCAGTCACAACTAACCTAGCACATGATCAGCCACAACTAACCTAGCACATGATCAGTCACAACTAACCTAGCACATGATCAGTCACAACTAACCTAGCACATGATCACTCACAACTAACCTAGCACATGATCAGTCACAACTAACCTAGCACATGATCAGTCACAACTAACCTAGCACATGAGCAGTCACAATTAACCTAGCACATGATCAGTCACAACTAACTTAGCACATGATCAGTCACAACTAACCTAGCACATGATCAGCCACAACTAACCTAGCACATGATCAGTCACAACTAACCTAGCACATGATCAGCCACAACTAACCTAGCACATGATCAGTCACAACTAACCTAGCACATGATCAGTCACAACTAACCTAGCACATGATCAGTCACAACTAACCTAGCACATGATCAGTCACAACTAACCTAGCACATGATCAGTCACAACTAACCTAGCACATGATCAGTCACAACTAACCTAGCACATGATCAGTCACAACTAACCTAGCACATGATCAGTCACAACTAACCTAGCACATCATCAGTCACAACTAACCTAGCACATGATCAGTCACAACTAACCTAGCGCATGATCAGTCACAACTAACCTAGCACATGATCAGTCACAACTAACCTAGCACATGATCAGTCACAACTAACCTAGCACATGATCAGTCACAACTAACCTAGCACATGCTAACTTTAACGTTGCAAGTCAAACATTTCATGTATGTGGAATTCTTGTTAACTGTGATAATATTATTACATTTGCTCTTCCGTGACTATAAGAAAAAATACTTCTTTGATAATTATTAAAAAAAATGCTCGAATGAGGGCAGATTGAATTATTACAGTGTGGAAACACTGTGTTGCGCAGTGACACAGTACTATGTGAGTTACAGTGTTGCACAGTGACACAGTGTTATGCGAGTTACAGTGTTGCACAGTGACACAGTACTATGTGAGTTACAGTGTTGCGCAGTGACACAGTGTTATGTGAGTTACAGTGTTGCGCAGTGACACAGTGTTATGTGAGTTACAGTGTTGCACAGTGACACAGTGTTATGTGAGTTACAGTGTTGCACAGTGACACAGTACTATGTGAGTTACAGTGTTGCACAGTGACACAGTACTATGTGAGTTACAGTGTTGCACAGTGACACAGTACTATGTGAGTTACAGTGTTGCACAGTGACACAGTACTATGTGAGTTACAGTGTTGCACAGTGACACAGTACTATGTGAGTTACAGTGTTGCACAGTGACACAGTGCTATGTGAGTTACAGTATTGCACAGTGACACAGTACTATGTGAGTTACAGTGTTGCGCAGTGACACAGTGTTATGTGAGTTACAGTGTTGCGCAGTGACACAGTGTTATGTGAGTTACAGTGTTGCACAGTGACACAGTGTTATGTGAGTTACAGTGTTGCACAGTGACACAGTACTATGTGAGTTACAGTGTTGCACAGTGACACAGTACTATGTGAGTTACAGTGTTGCACAGTGACACAGTGCTATGTGAGTTACAGTATTGCACAGTGACACAGTACTATGTGAGTTACAGTGTTGCACAGTGACACAGTACTATGTGAGTTACAGTGTTGCACACTGACACAGTACTATGTGAGTTACAGTGTTGCACAGTGACACAGTACTATGTGAGTTACAGTGTTGCACAGTGACACAGTGTTATGTGAGTTACAGTGTAGCACAGTGACACAGTACTATGTGAGTTACAGTGTTCCACAGTGACACAGTGTTATTCAAGTTACAGTGTTGCACAGTGACACAGTGTTATGTGAGTTACAGTGTTGCACAGTGACACAGTACTATGTGAGTTACAGTGTTGCACAGTGACACAGTACTATGTGAGTTACAGTGTTGCACAGTGACACAGTGCTATGTGAGTTACAGTGTTGCACAGTGACACAGTGTTATGTGAGTTACAGTGTTGCACAGTGACACAGTACTATGTGAGTTACAATGTTGCACAGTAACACAGTACTATGTGAGTTACAGTGTTGCACAGTGACACAGTGTATTGTGAGTTACAGTGTTGCACAGTGACACAGTGTTATGTGAGTTACAGTGTTGCACAGTGACATAGTGTTATGTAAGTTACAGTGTTGCACAGTGACACAGTGTTATGTGATTTACAGTGTTGCACAGTGACACAGTGTTATGTGAGTTACAGTGTTGCACAATGACACAGTACTATGTGAGTTACAGTGTTGCACAGTGACACAGTGTTATGAGTTACAGTGTTGCAAAGTGACACAGTGTTATGTGAGTTACAGTGTTGTACAGTGACACAGTGTTATGAGTTACAGTGTTGCACAGTGACACAGTGTTATGTGAGTTACAGTGTTGCACAGTGACACAGTACTATGTGAGTTACTGTGTTGCACAGTGACACAGTACTATGTGAGTTACAGTGTTGCACAGTGACACAGTACTATGTGAGTTACTGTGTTGCACAGTGACACAGTACTATGTGAGTTACAGTGTTGCACAGTGACACAGTGCTATGTGAGTTACAGTGTTGCACAGTGACACAGTACAATGTGAGTTACAGTGTTGCACAGTGACACAGTACTATGTGAGTTACAGTGTTGCACAGTGACACAGTACTATGTGAGTTACTGTGTTGCACAGTGACACAGTACTATGTGAATTACAGTGTTGCACAGTGACAGTGTTATGTGAGTTACAGTGTTGCACAGTGACACAGTACTATGTGAGTTTCAGTGTTGCACAGTGACACAGTGCTATGTGAGTTACAGTGTTGCGCAGTGACACAGTGCTATGTGAGTTACAGTGTTGCACAGTGACACAGTACAATGTGAGTTACAGTGTTGCACAGTGACACAGTGTTATGTGAGTTACAGTGTTGCACAGTGACACAGTGTTATGTAAGTTACAGTGTTGCACAGTGACACAGTGTTATGTGAGTTACAGTGTTGCACAGTGACACAGTGTTATGTGAGTTACAGTGTTGCACAGTGACACAGTGTTATGTAAGTTACAGTGTTGCATAGTGACACAGTGTTATGTGAGTTACAGTGTTGCACAGTGACAGAGTGTTATGTGAGTTACAGTGTTGCACAGTGACACAGTGTTATGTAAGTTACAGTGTTGCATAGTGACACAGTACTATGTGAGTTACAGTGTTGCACAGTGACACAGTACTATGTGAGTTACAGTGTTGCACAGTGACACAGTGCTATGTGAGTTAGAGTGTTGCACAGTGACACAGTGTTATGTGAGTTACAGTGTTGCACAGTGACACAGTACTATGTGAGTTACAGTGTTGCACAGTGACACAGTGCTATGTGAGTTAGAGTGTTGCACAGTGACACAGTGTTATGTGAGTTTCAGTGTTGCACAGTGACACAGTACTGTGTGAGTTACAGTGTTGCACAGTGACACAGTGTTATGTGAGTTAGAGTGTTGCACAGTGACACAGTGTTATGTGAGTTACAGTGTTGCACTGTGACACAGTACTATGTGAGTTACAGTGTAGCACAGTGACACAGTGTTATGTGAGTTACAGTGTTGCACAGTGACACAGTGCTATGTGAGTTACAGTGTTGCACAGTGACAGTGTTATGTGAGTTACAGTGTTGCACAGTGACACAGTACTATGTGAGTTTCAGTGTTGCACAGTGACACAGTGCTATGTGAGTTACAGTGTTGCGCAGTGACACAGTGCTATGTGAGTTACAGTGTTGCACAGTGACACAGTACTATGTGAGTTACAGTGTTGCACAGTGAGACAGTGTTATGTGAGTTACAGTATTGCACAGTGACACAGTGTTATGAGTTACAGTGTTGCACAGTGACAGTCTTATGTGAGTTACAGTGTTGCACAGTGACACTGTGTTATGTGAGTTACAGTGTTGCACAGTGACACAGTGCTATGTGAGTTACAGTGTTGCACAGTGACACAGTACTATGTGAGTTACAGTGTTGCACAGTGACACAGTGATATGTGAGTTACAGTGTTGCACAGTGACACAGTGCTATGTGAGTTACAGTGTTGCACAGTGAGACAGTGTTATGTGAGTTACAGTATTGCACAGTGACACAGTGTTATGAGTTACAGTGTTGCACAGTGACACAGTGTTATGTGAGTTACAGTGTTGCACAGTGACACAGTGTTATGTGAGTTACAGTGTTGCACAGTGACACAGTGTTATGTGAGTTACAGTGTTGCACAGTGACACAGTGTTATGTGAGTTACAGTGTTGCACAGTGACACAGTACTATGTGAGTTACAGTGTTGGGGATAATAATTGTATGAGAGTATATTACGCTGTATTAAAGTTAAATTGTTGGAACACCGGTATATCTGGAGTATACCTGGAGGGTATTTATTGGGTGAACGCCCCCGAGGCCTGGTCCATGACCACACCTCGCGGTGGTTCAGCGCCTGATCAACAAGGCTGCTACTGCTTGCCGCACGTAAACCGTCGTAAGAACAACAGCTCGGCTGGTTAGGTACTGACTTTAAGTACCTGTCCAGCTCCCTCATGAAGACAGCCAGAGGTCTGTTGGTAGTCCTCCTTTTATATGATGGGAGGCAGATGGACAGTCTTGGGTCCCCTGATACTTATTGTGTTGTCTCGTAGTGGACTCGTGGCGCCCCTGCTGTTCACTGGGGGGATGTTGCACTGCTTCCCGGTGCTGCTACTCTTTTTCTATGAGAGAAGCAAGGCAGGAATACCTTCACTCTGCGTTGTTTAAATATAAGCTATGATCCTTTCTGTTATTTTCTGTTTCACGAGATGGATTTTACACACGAGATAATGAAAGTTGTCAGCTTGAGCTGAGAAACTTTAATGTTGTCGTGAAGATATACTGAGCATCACACTATGGGTTTAGTTCCAACGGCAGCTGTAAAGATTACCTTCCAACAAAGCTGGAGTCAGTTAAGCAAAGTTATCTTACACAGATTCATGGTATAATTCGAAACAGAACACTATATATTAACATTTTGAAATATAGGACAGACATTCATTGCTTCCATTACTGTTACTTAACTGTGAATATACAATCACCAAAACTTTGTTATCAGGAACAGAAACGTATTAAATGTGTTGTATCACGAGTGTTGCAGACACTGACACATTAGTACTCAACCCGGAGAGTCATGCATGACCATCCATGTAATTAACCTCATATAACGTGGCAATAACAAGTTATTTTCTCTCATTGTGTATCCCGGGCGGGTATTGGAAGGGATGTGTCTTGCTTGCTGCCCGGGGACACTCACCTCTAGTGTTTACTCAGAGTTGGTGTACTAGTTATGTGTACGAGAGTACAGACTCAACTCTTCTTAAAAAATAGGTGGCATTTACTGATTCCTGGCTCTTGAGCTCTCTCTTACCTGTTCTTGAGCCTAAGCACTACCTTCTAATCTAGTCTAGTTACATACATGTCGACCGTCTCCAGCTACCTATACACCCCGATCCTACTTAATTTAATAATTCTTAACAGGCGTTGTGCGTGATGTTCTGAAACATTCTTTGTGGAGATGGCAATTCTAAGATACCTCGAATGCTCTGTCGCTATAATGCAGTTTACAGGCGCGTGATACATTTGTTGTATCAGATACGACTCTCAGGACATACTTCATTTATTTTGTAGTTTCTTCCCTTCCTGCGCTCTATTCAGTAAGCGCGACTTTGCAATGGCTATGTCTGAGTTCTAAAAGCCACTTGGTTTTAAAATTCAAACTTCCACTTGGGAAGCATATCAAAATCTTTTTGTAGTCTCCATCCATGTCTGTTGTTATTATTTTCGTTAGTTTCAGGTCAGGCAAACAGCGACAAATAGAACGTGATCCCTTCTGGAATGTAATTCAGAGGTAATGTGATCTGCTCACTGCCAGAATATACGCATCTCTTGTGGAAACTCAGGCATCCAAACTGCCCTGGTGACCAAATCTGACACTCAAGCTGGTGTTAATCCAGCCTGACCAAGCTTTTTCAGACCCAATCTGACTTCCTAGCTAGTGGTGTCACAAACTAATCTCCCAACTGCTGGAGGCCCACTCTGGTTTCCCAACTGGTGGTGACCCAATCTGACCTCCCAGCTGGTGGTGACCCAATCTGATCTCCCATCTGGTGGTAACCCAATCTGGCCTCCTTGCTGGTGGTGAGGCAGTCTGGCCATACACCTGGTGGTGACCCAGTCTCACCTCTAGCCTGGTGATGGCCCAATCTCACCTCAAAGACGGTGGTGACCCAATCTCGTCTCCAAGATGGTGGTGACTCAGTCTCACCTCTAAGATAGTGGAGATCCAGTCTGACCTCCCAGCTGGTGATGACCCAGCCTGACCTCCAAGCTTGTGGTGACCCAGTATGATCTTCTGGCAGGTGGTGACCCAGTCTGCTCTCCCAGCTGGTAGTGAAACAGCCTGACCTCCCAGCTGGTGGTGACGAAGTCTGAAGTTCCAGCTTGTGGTGATCCAGTCTGATCTCCAGGTGGGGGTGACCCAGTCTGACTTCTCAGCTGGTGGTGACCCAGTGTGACCTCCCGACTGGAAGTGACCCATTCCGATCACTCAGCTGGTAGTAACTCAGCTTGACCTTCCAGCTGGTGATGACCCAGCTTGACCTCCCAGAAAGTGGTGACCTAGTCTGATCTCCCAGCTGGTGGTGACCCAGTCTCTTCTTCTAGCTGGTAGTGAGTCAGTCTGACCTCCCTGCTGGTGTTGATCCAGTCTGAGCTCTCAGTTAGTGGTAACCCAGTCTGACCTCCCAACTGGTGGTGACGAAGTCTGAAATCCCAGCTGGTGGTGATCCGGTCTGACATCCAGGTGGTGGTGACCTAGTCTCACCTTCCAGCTGGTGATGACCCAGCCTGACCTCCCAGAAAATGGTGACCTTGTCTGATCTCCCAGCTGGTAGTGACTCAGCCTGACCTCCCAGCTTGTGTTGTCGAAGTCTGAAATCCCAGCTGGTGGTGATCCAGTCTGACCTTCAGGTGGTGGTGACCCAGTCTGACCTCTCAGCTGGGGGTGACCCAGCCTGGCTTCTCACGTGGTGGACAAAAAGTCTGAAATCCCAGCTGGCGGTGATCAAGTCTGACCTCCGGCTGGTGTTGACCCAATATGACCTCCCAGCTGGTGTTGGCCCAGTCTGACCTCCCGAATGGTGATGACACGATCTGACCTCCCAGCTGGTGAAGATCCAGTCTGACCTCCAGGTGGTGGCGACCTAGTCTGACCTCTCAGCTCGTGATGACCCAGTCTGACCTCCCACCTGGTGGTGACTCACTCTGACCTCCCGGCTGGTGGTGACTCATTCTGATCTCCCAGCTGGTAGTGACTTAGCCTCACCTCCCAGCTGGTAGTGACACAGCCTGACCTCCCAGGTGGTTGTGACGGTGTCTGAAATCCCAGCTGGTGGTGATCCAGTCTGTCCTCCAGCAGGTGTTGACCCAGTCTGACCTCCCAAGTGGTGTTTACCCAATTTGATCTCCCAGCTGGTGGTGACCCAGTCTGACCCCCAGCTGGTGGTGACCCAATCTGACCTCCCAGCTGGTGTTGACCCAGTCTGACTGACCTTCCAACTGGTGGTGACCCAATCTGACCTTCCAGCTGGTGTTGACCAAGTCTGACCTCCTAGCTGGTGGTGACCCAATCTGACCTCCCAGCTGGTGTTGACCCAGTCTGACCTCCAGGTAGTGGTGACTCAGTCAGACCTTCAGCTGGTGGTGTTCGTCTGATCTCCCAGCTGGTGGTGACCCATTCTGATCTCCCAGTTGGCAGTGACTAAACCTGACCTCCCAGCTGGTAGTGACTCAGCCTGACCTCCCAGCTGGTAGTGACTAAGCCTGACCTCCCAGCTGGTAGTGACTCAGTCTGACCTCCCAGCTGGTAGTGACTCAGCCTGACCTCCCAGCTGGTGATGACGAACTCTGAAACCCCAGATGGTGGTGATCCAGCCAGACATCCAGCTGGTGTTACCCCAGTCTGACTTCAGAACTGGTGGTTACCCATTTTGATGACCCAGCTGGTGGTGATCCAGTCTGACCTCCCAGCAGGTAGCTACTCAGCCTGACCTCTCAGCTGGTATTGATCTAGTCTGACCTCCAGCTAGTGTTGACCCAGCCTGACCTCTCAGCTGGTATTGACCCAGGCTGGCCTCCAAGCTGGTGGTTGCCCAGTCTGACCTCCCATCTGGTGTTGACTGAGTCTGATCTCCCGGCTGGTGGTGACCCAGTCTGACCTCTCAGCTGGAAGGTGACCCAGTCTAGAAACTTAGCTTGTGGTGATTTAGTCTGACCTTCAGGTGGTGGTGATACAGTCTGACCTCCAGGCTGGGGGTGACCCAGTCTGATCACCCAGCTGGTATGACTCAGCCTGACCTCCCAGCTGGTGATGACGAAGTCTGAAATCTCAGGTGGTGGTGATCCAGTCTGGCTTCCAGGTGGTGGTGACCCCGTTTGACCTCCCAGCTGGTATTGACTAGGTCTGACCTTCTAGCTGGTGGTGACCCATTCTGACCTTCCGGTGGTGCCGACCCAGTCCGAATTCCGGGGGTGGTGACCCAGTTTGACCTCCCAGCTGGTGGTGATCGTCTGTTCTTCCAACTGGTGGTGACTCATTCTGATTTCCCATCTGGTAGTGACTCAACCTAACCTCCAAGCTGGTGATGACCCCGTCCAATCTCCCAGCTAGTGGTGACCCAGTCTGATCTCCCACTTGGTAGTGACTCAGCATGACCTACCAGCTGGTGGTGACGAAGTCTGAAATCCTAGATGGTGGTGATCCTGACCTCCAGCTGGTGTTGACGAAGTTCGACCTCACAGCTGGTGGTTACCAAGTCTGACCACCCAGCTGGTGGTTACCCTGTCTGACCTCCAAGCCGGTGTTGACCGAGTCTGACCAACCGGCTGGTGGTGACCCAGTCTGTCCTCCCAGCTGGTGTCGACCCAGTCTGACCTCCCAGCTGGTGTTGACTCTGACTTCCCGTTGGTATTGACCCAGCTCACCTTCCTGCTGGTGGTGACCCAGTCTGACCTCCCAGTTGGTGGTGACCGTCTGGTCTCCCAGCTAGTGGTGACCCATTCTGATCATTCATGTGTTAGTGGCTCAGTCTGATCTCCCAGCTGGTGATCCCCAGCCTGATCTCCCAGCTGGTGGTGACCCAGTCTAAATACTTAGCTGGTGGTGATCTAGTCTGACCTTCAGGAGGTGGTGGTACAGTTTGACCTCCCGGCTAGTGATGATTCAGCCTAACCTTCAAGCTGGTGGTGACCCAGTCTGATCTCCCAGCTGGTTCTGACAAAGTCTGAAATCCTAGCAGGTTGTGATCCAGTCTGACCTCCTGGTGGTGGTGACTCCGTCTGACTTCTCAGCTGGTGGTGACCCAGTCTGACCTCCCGGCTTGTGGTGACCCACCCTGACCTAGTCTGAAATCCCAGCTGATGTTGACGCAGTCACACCTCACAACTGGTGTTGACCAAGTTTGACCTCCTAGTTGTTGGTTACCCTGTCTGACCTCCCGGCTGGTGGTGACCCAGTCTGATCTCCCAGCTGGTGGTGACGAAATCTGATATCCCAGCTGGTGGTGATTCAGTCTTACCTACAGGTAGTGGTGACCTAGTCTTACCTTCCAGCTGGTGTTTACCCAGTCTGACCTCCCAGCTGGTGGTGACCCATTCGATCTTCCAGCTGGTAGTGACTCAGCCTGACCTCCCAGCTGGTAGTGACCCAGCCAGACCTCCCAAATGGTGGTGACCCAGTCTGATCTCCCAGCTGGTGGTGACCCAGTCTTATCTTCCAGCTGGTTTTCTTTCAGCTTGATCTTCCAGCTGGCGGTAACGAAGTTTGAAATCTCAGCTGGTAGTGATCCAGTCTGACCTCCAGGTGATGGTGACCCAGTCTAACCTCTCAGCTGGTAGTGACCCAGTCTGACCTCTCAGATGGTGTTGTTGACCCATTATGACCTCCTAGCCGGTGATGGCCCAGTCTGACCTCCCAGCTGGTGGATACTCAGCCCGTTCTCCCATCTGGTGGTGACCCAGTCCGACATCCCAGCTTATGGTGAGCCCGTCTGATCTTCAAGCTGATGGTGACCCAGTCTGCCCTCCCAGATGGTGGTGACCCAGTCTGCCCTCCCAGCTGGTAATGATCCAGTCTGGCCTCCCACCTTGTTGTCATAAATTTCTGAGGGGAAACCATAATTAAAAAATTCTATTTTTTTTACCTTAATTACTTATTAACTTACATTGTGGGTAGTTAGTTAGCAATTACTTAGTTACATGACAGGAAACTTTACCGTGCAGCGGGGCAATCACCGTTCCTACTGTTTAGTCAGAAAATGCTCGTTCGGTATTTACGTCGGTAGACGTACTGCTGGAGGTGTGTGTCACTTACCTTGCCTGGTGTTAGAGACGCTGGTTCCTCTCAGGTAGACCAGGCTGAGGGCGGTCAGGTCCCTCTCTCGTTTATATACGACTTATACCTCACTCGCGGCTGGATGCAGTGGAAGGCGGGGCTAGGTCGCAGAGGCACCTGATTCGTCTGCTCTCTCCTTCTTGTCATGTGTCAATGGTCATGTCCATCCTGTCAATGTTGCGTCATGTTAGAGGCCACATCTTATCCTGTAACTGTTACGTCATGTCTTTGATCACGTCTCATCCTGACACTGTTACATCACGTCACTGATAGTGTAATATCTTTACTATGCACCCTATACCCATTGTTTGGATGATAGTCAAAAGATTACAGAGGAACATTATGGGTCCAGGGACCGAGCCGCAAAGTTTTGATAGCTGAACAAGTTACAGTGATAATGAACTATTTGCATGTTTATATCTGGTTACAATCGTAATGAGTTATTTATACATACTTGAATTTAGTCACAACAAATATTACAATATATCCTCTATGTATTCTAAATTATTGAAATTACTTTATATTTCAGCAAGATATGCTTGAATTTAGTCAACTTTAAGGGGGTTGTGCATTATTTACTACAGGCAAAGTCAAGGTATTTTTTCCAGAATGGTTAATAATTTGCCACTGTAGGTAAAATACTTTGACATTTGTTGAATTTTTCTGAGTGAGTTGCCTCTGAATTCATTAATTTTGTCGCATTCTAGAACATCATGAGGCAAGATGTGACAATTGTCCATCTGGCAAAGTTTACATATAGTTTGGTATACATCAGGTGGCAGTGGTGATGCAACCTCCCTGAAGTACTGGTAACCCAGGCACAGCCTGACATTACAGACATCTGCTGATTATGTTGGATGCACCATAGACATGTGGCTCCTCCTGCATGATAGACTGATGATAGTTGGAGTGACTGGTGTTAATCTCCCTCAGTCTCAAGTGTCCTCACAAACTAACAAATATTTCTAACAATGTGCATTACTTGATCAAATCCGGAATTTTAGTTGGCTTGGGGTCGAATCTGGAGCATCCTGGTGGAATTCAAAGTGATGCAGGTTCTCGCTTGAAACTTTGTCTACTTAATTCATCATGGCTTTGATAGAGGTTCTGTATTCTTAGAACCTGGAAATTAAGGCGATAGAAGCAAC